TCAGCGATCAGCAATCAGCAGTCATCGAGGGGGCGCGGCGACGACAAACGACTACGGTCCTCTTCACCATCGCGCCTGGCATGGTGTTGCTCACTTCTCACCAACAACTTCACGCACCCAGCTCTCAGCTTGAGTACATGTCAACAACATGTTTGTATAACAATAACAACAACAAAAGTCGGAATAACAGCAAACAGCCGACATACATATGTACATAGTTGCAGGCGGGCAATGCCGGTGGCAGCAGCAACGATGCAGAGTCAACTTAAAAAGTAATGCCGTCAAAAAGCATTTTCATACAAATTTTAAAATGTTCCCCCTATTTTCCCTTTTTGCTTTTTATGCCAGCTTAGCTTAGCTTTACTTTGCTTTTTTCTGCTGTTTACTTAGCTATTATTGTATTGAGTGTTATTTGTTGCTGCCGCAGCCGCATGTATTCGCATGCATATTCATAATTCCAAAGGAAGAAGTCATGTAGATCCATAAAGTAAATGAAAACTTCCGCAACAAGCGAGCGGACAGACAGACAGAACGAAAGGTGGACGGACACACAGTGTGGGGTGTTATGCGCAAAGGAAGTAGACAAAAAAACGCGAAGTAAACACTCTGTTCCATTTAAAATATTTTGTACTATATCGAGTAACATGTGTTTGTATTGGATTTAACATGACTTTGTACTGTAGTATTTACGAAGGCATTTGTGTGCAACACCCACACAGCCGCATATTTACACCCGCTGGCTTAATAAATAAATATGCGCTTAAATGAAACGCACTTAATGTGCGATTTGAGTGACATACCGGCGATTGCTAGGAGTAGAAGCAGCAGCAACAGCACCGCCGCGAACGCACAGTGGGCTGTTCTCCTACAATTTGCGCTCAGTAATTGTAAACCTGCTTTAAATTCGTTAAAATTTCTGCACGTGCTGCACTCTTACTCAGAATAGAAGAAATTTAAAATGTTGTGGCACACTGCCACGCCCACCAGTCATTTGGAGGATTTATAAAATTTGCTAGGATTTTGTGGAAACTCGGCATACATAGAAGTTAGTTTTAAATAGAGACATTAATCGGGATTTTGGCAAAGGTCATGTAACTGCCAATCCCAGCAGCCACATGGGCGGAAAAATGTATTAAATGTGATTATATAATTCCAAGTCTACGCCGTGTCTGATATTTTAACCGGTAATTCGTGCTTATTTTAGTATTTGAGCCTCCGGAAAGGCCACGAAAAACTCTAAATAGTTCAGTAAAAAAACACTTAAAGTTCCGAAAACATCTACGGAAACTAAGGAAAATTTCAAGAAAACGCGGAAAAGTTTTAGGAAAATTTGGAAACACCCCATAAAGTTTGGAAAAGTTCCAACCAATTGGGAACGCCCCAAATAAAATCGGAATAGTCCCAAAAAATCGGAAAAGTCGAAACAATTCGGAAAGGTCCCCAAAAAAATGGAAAATGCCCATAAATTTAGGAAACTCCCAATAAAACCTATAAAACCTAAAAAATTAGCAAGAGCTTTAAAAAATTCGGAAGTGTCCCAAAAATTTGCGAAAGTCCCAAAAAATCGGGAATGTCCTAAAAAATTCGGAAAAGTCCCGAAAAATTCGGAAAAAAACAAAACAGTTCGGAATAATAAAAAAAATCGGAAGAGTTAAAAAAATTCGGAAAGGTTACAAAAAAATAGAAAATTAAATTTTAAAAAGTTGTAATGAAACACGAAAAATCCAAGAAAACCACTGAAAAAATTTAATTTTTTATCAGTACATTCGTGCTCAAAGTATAGGGAGAGAAAATTATGAAAAACAAGAGAAAATGAAATTCTAAAATTCTGATGGGTGATTGGTATTAGCGTTTTCAAAGCATTGGCCCAGGACTCAATTATCGCTGTACGCACCATTTTTATACGCTTTCTCTGGTACGTCTGATATAACAAACAACAACACAATTCATATGTATCTTTTTTTGCAAATTTTCATAGCACCTGAACATGCTGCTCGTTTAATTCTGCTTGATTTTCTAACGTTGTATTACCTATTTATCATCCAGTGATGACCACCATACCAACGCACCGTAATTTAATATTGGTATTATAATAGTCGTACACATCCTTAGGACAACTTTTTGCTTTAAGTAGTCTCAAGTTTCGACTTGACTCTCTGCCAACTATATAGGAAGGTCGTCTACAACTTACTATGCAAGATACCCTGGACTTCACCATTATAGGTGTAATGCAGTCTGGGCCGCGAAATTTATAACTTCCTTAACCCCCATTGAGTACAGTAAGCCTTTTGAGTGATTAAATTTAACTATTTGGATCCATAGAGCAGTGAAGGAGGCATGTCATTCCCCTGCACTCTCCGCTCCGCATTCACATAACATGTTTAAAAAAGTTTCGCTCAGACTATTAGCCACAAAATATTTAGCATATTTTTAACCACCTCGTAACACTGTACGCCGCCACCCAAAGCCGGTTGGCATAACAGCGGAAGGGTTGCCAACGCATGACACTCCACTCGAATGAAGCAATTTAAAATATGAGTTTGAACATTTACGTTTAACCGATTTTAATCTCAATGCCACGACAAAGAACAAAAAGAATTTGAAGTTTTATTTTAAGAAATTTATTGCTATCGTGCAAAAGCCAACGATGACTGAGTCATTTTTGTTGTAAAGTAAATAATTTGGTGCGGCACGATCACTACAGCGATCTTTCGCTATTAAAGCTCAAACCAAATTTGGTAGAATTTTTAATTCTTTCAGACAGACAATTTATTGATATGGATCTTTGCAGTAGTTGTTAATGAGTTTCGAAGTATTTGTATCAGAGTAGCTTAGTAAGTTTATACTCGCTATGATGGTATGTCAGTCAATCACTTTGAATGACAAATGAGATCGGTCATTGAAGCATGATCCGATGGCAATAAAAAAAGCTAATACTAGTGATTTTTATTATGGCTAAAACTATAACCAAATAATGTTCATAACTCGTTCATAACTTATTGCACAGTTACTTTATTTTTAACATTTAACAAATAAAATATTAGCAATATCTTGAAATCGCTTCGTTTTAACTGCCTTATTGGACTCGTATGAGTGAAATTAATTATGCCCATATCCACACTCGTACTCAACTGGTGTTCTTAATTTAAGTGTAATTAATTTTCACTGAATGAAACATGTACCGTCATTTGTGGAATATTAAAACCATCAAATAAATTATTAATAGTTGGGTTTACACTGCCAGAACTTATCAATATTATCCTATTATTCATCTGAAAGCAGACAACCTAGTCGGTCTATCAGAGGGATCTCCTGCGATCGCTTCAGATTCCTCAGCAGGCACTGCTCAAGTAGGGACCAATCTGTTGAAGCAAAGCGTGCCACAACAACGAGGCACAAGCCAAAGCCCGTGTAGACGTGGCACCTCTTTAAATGTGATAGCGCAATACAGGATTTACGCTCAGCATTGCGGGTTATCTCCAGCGGCAAAGATAATACCGGACTATGCCTTAACGTTGGCATAGATAAGGAGTCTCACAGCAGCGTTAAAGGGGCCGGTTAGAGGAGATGCAGGTGGACGAAAGTACAGCCCCCAGCAGGAATACTGCATTTCTCGCAGGCTTATTAGAAGTAACGATGGCATCAAGCATTTAATAGGTCAGGCAAGCAGCAATTGCTCAACTATCGAGTTTGCGTGATCACCACGCAGGAGCTGCTGGAATCTCCTGAGAAGATGCCAGAGTTGGAAATATGCGAAATCTCTGATTTCATGACTAAAGAGAAAGATTCAAGTGATACATCCTCGATCGCGAAGATTGGGCAAATGGGGTCCCTGCACTTGATCTCAGATACGTACACTGGTTCAAGGATGGAGGACAGACCAGACTAGCACCAAACTTGCAATTCCCATGGGCAAATGGCCCACGGTATTTCAGGCTGAAATGGTCGCAATTTTAAACTGCGCAAAATCAAACTTCGAAAAGGGTTTAAAGGGCGCCTTTCTAGTTATATTTTCAGATAGCCAAGCAACCATCCGGGCCTTTTCAAGCAGGACCATCAAATCCAAGCTGGTTAGAGACAGCTTTGACACGCTACAAATTTTGGCAGCCAAAAACATGGTAACACTGTACTGGGTACGAGGCCATTGTGGAATCGAAGGCAACGAGATCGCCGACGAGTAGCCTTTTCTGGACCTGAACCATTCTGTGGTCCCAGCTGGTCTTCTTCGAGAGCCATAATTACTGAGTGGGTACCCTCGGAACCCAGTAAGTACTGAGGAGCGGTGGGGGCCTTAGATAGGCCAGGCTCTTCGGCTACCCTTTCAACAGAAACGACATTGTTTTAGGAAATATAAATGATTATAATCAGATAATTATCTGACCGGTCACAACCAATTACAATTCCACTTGCACCGAATAGGTATAAACACTGTCGGAATGCCGGCTCTGCCTCGAGGATGATGAAACTTCGGAGCATATTCTCTGTCACTGTCCGGATTTGGCCAGAAAAAGACTGATTTATTTTAAATCTCCAATGGTCGAACCCTTTGTTATACGGAGTTCGCCTAGCAAGGCCCTTTTAGGATTCATTAGGGAAGCGGAAGGTATCTTGGCCACACTGGGTTAGGGACTCACTTTAAGAGATACAAAATATCTTTTAGGTCGGGGGTCTTTCGTTTTGGTACACCCATAAAATTAACTAATTAACTAACCATAGGATCGGAGAGACTGGTTTCGAACCCACCACTGCGCGGGTGAGCAGTTGGTGGATGAGTCAATCCAACGATCGTATCAATCGATCTTCGACCATCTGCTCAAACTGATCTGCATTTTTATGTTCATTAAATAATCGAGAAAGCCTTCTAAACAGCAATTGACCGATATTCTACCATAGAAATGTTACAAAATACAAGATAACTTACTATACAGTTTATTTAGATATAATTCTTTTACATGCTCATTAAAAGCCAATTCAAGAAGAGAACTCATTCTACACCCGACGTACATACAAGAAATTGAAACTAAATAGACTTGTTGAATGAGTGCATAAAAATTAACTTTGGTACAATGAGCAAGCGAGTATGTTGATGGGCTTGATGACCAACAATATGCACAGCGCATGCGTCTTGAATTTCCTGCCACTTAGAGCGTTACATTCATACGCATGTAGTTGTGAAACCACCTACACTCAATGTATAACATAGTAGTACGATCACGCATAATTCTTAGGGAAAACATACATACATACATACATGAGTGCATATGTGGCTGCCTAAATAAAATTATATGAATGACCAAGCGACTGATCGAGGGACAACTACGAATGATTGCCTGATATAGGGTTGAGTTGAGTGATCGAAGCGATCGTGCGTTTTGCTTGTGGGGCAATTGATTGTCACAATGGCTATTGTAAGCATATGCGCTAAGATACATTTGAGTGGCTGAGAACGCACATACACACTCGTTGGCGTGTCTAATGTTACAAGGCGAAAACAACAATTAAATAAATTAAAAACAACCATAAAAGAAGAGTTGTACGGCTGATTACTGGCGTTTAACTCGTCTATACGGCTGGGCAGGCCGATGTGGAGCTATCAAATTGCTTGCGTTTTTTTATTGAGCGCTTGGTCGGGGATCAAAGCGAACGATTCAAAGCTAATGGCAAGTGTTTTAAACGCTTACAGAGGGCCACATGTGTGCATGCGTTTATTGTAAAAAGAGGTCAGCTGGCTTTTTGTAACAGTAACATTAGATGTGCTAATATGGTATTTACAACTATTTGGGTTATATATATATATATGCATTTAATTAACCGGATATGACTTAAGTATTTAAGTAATAATTCAAACCTGCTGTTTTATAGCCTCATCGTAGTTCTTAAAGACTCCGCTATTCGCGCCGTAACCCCGCAGCGCTAGTGAGCGTTCCCATACGGCTTGCCAATTGATGCACTCGCGCGTGCTACGTCGAAACGAATTTCGGTATGTGCGCGTGCTGAGAGCGCCTACACCGCCGCCACTACCGCCGACGCTGCTGCCATTTGGACTTGCATAAATCGACATATTTGCGTTATTACCGGCATTGCGCACGCCAGCGCCGCTATTCCAGGGCGGACGCGCGCTCAAACCCGCAGTAATTGTGACCTTAGCTGCCCCTGCCGCTGTGGTTGCGCTCTTTCGTACCGCCACACGAAAACTGCGATACTTTTGCGTGCGTTCGAATGTGCTCTGCTGCGCGCTATTAATGGCTGTCATCGAAGACGCTGCAGTGCTGGGTAAACTATTATCCGCCGAGTGATCTCCATCGCTGTGCAGTCGCATGCGCCGTCCGCCGCCGCCGCCGCCATTGATGGACGCCTGCAACGCCGTGGGCGCAGGTGATGCGGTGCGCGCGGCTGCTGCGCTACGCTGTGGTTGACTGAGCGCGCGCTTAACGTTCATCATTGGCGATCGTGGTGGTGCGTCGACCGCCTTTAACGCCTTTGCCATAGTCGCTGCATACTCTTTTGTGTGAGCGCTGAGTGTTGGTTTCTTGGCAAGCGCAGGTTTGCCCGCGCCGCCAACCTTTAGTGTGACCGCAGCTATTGGCGCGCCATCTAACGCTGTGCGTCCTTCATTCTGTGTTATCATCGAATCGTGTGAATGCCATGAGGCTGAATTCTCAGAACCACTATCGCTGATCGTCTCTGAGCTAATGCTGTTTTTGCGCGGCGTGGACTTTGTAGCGAGCGGCGTAGCTGTGTGTATGCCATTCTTAGTGGGCGGGTTGCTGTTGTTCTGTGCCGCCAAGCGCGATTTAAGTGTGCCACAGGCATGCGCCTTCCCGGTGCAGCCGCGGTGAAATTCTGGCTTCAGGCCAGTGCCAGGCTGTGCTGGTGTGGCCGGCTGTATGGGCGAGGCGCGGAGCGATTGCTCGAACTTGTTTGGTAACAGAAACATCTGCGTCAATATTTTTGTTTTTGCTCACTTCACTTCAATACTATACACTTGGAGAAGTGTGGTTGGTTTTATTGTTACTTTCTTTTTCACAACATATTTCGTTGCATGTACTTTTTTCTCCTCGTTTTCTTTTGCTGTTGCTTTAATATATTCTTATTTTCGTAACTTTTCACAGGTTTACGTAGATTTGTATGTGATTTAAGGACACAATACTTTTACTTATATTTTAATTTTTTTATGTATCTTTGTAGTTCGATTTTTTTTAATAGTTATTTCTCGGTTGTTCTTACACTTTTATTTACCGTTTCCTCTTTGATTCTAAAGAGTTCTGTAATTATTTTGTAAACTTGATTTGCGCGGTGGCTTCATTCACTGTTATTTTATACTAGGTTTTATCAAGTTTGTTTCATAAGTTTGATGAGAATTACAGAATATTGGACCAATGAATTAAAGGCACGTGAATAATAAGATATTTACTCGTATTTGTGTGTAAACTCTGGCGTATGAGGCATTTTTTCAATGTCGGGATTATTGTGAAATGTGCGTAGCATTATTTTCAGAAAGTAGATACATATGTCATTACCGATAACTTTTAACTATTTCGAGATCGAACCCATGCTCTTCAGCCATACAACTCTATAGCTCAACAAACTTTGGGCCTCATCTGGTCTTGGTCAGGCAAAGACTACAACATTTAAATTTAAATCTATTTATATTAGTAACTTCTTTACCAAGGTCATCGAAGCCTCAATACACCTTGAAATGATTGGTACATTTTAATCCAACCAAATTCGTTCATAATTTTTCTAATTTTAATTCTAAGCCCCGTCCCGTAAGCTCTCTATTCCACTATGGCGTTACTAATACAATTTGCGGGGTACTTTTGGCTCAGATAGTTGAAAGTCTTTTGAAGATAATTGAAACACAGTACGCGAGGCAAGATAGGTTTGAAAGATTTTGTTTATTCTGGCACGAATGTTTAAAAAAAAAATTCGCTTGCGAACTTTCAAGGCGAAAAGCTCGCAATGGCCGACACAGCAAAACAGTGGCGAGTTATTCGAGAGCTCCGCGGTTCGAATCGTCAGGTAGAAGAATTTTTTTCTCTTAATTTAATTTTCTTTTAATTTTTTAATTTTCGTGTTGTATATATTTTTTAATTTGTTTAAATTTTTGGAAACTTTTTATTATTTAATTTTTATTTCTATTGTTTAAGTTATTTAGTTATTAATTTTTGTTATTTTTTCATTACTTTAATTTTTCTTTTTTCTCTTTCGAGATATGTAATTAAGATTTTAGACTTTAAGGGCTGTTTGCAGCTGTCAAGAAAAACGAACAATTCATATAAAATGGCACATAGGAGATTGAAACGAAATTTTATTTCTCCAAGAAAATTTACAGAAGGCAAAGTACTTTTTCGAAAAATAATGAAAAATATTTCTTGTTCTTTTTCTGCAAACCGCATTTGAAAAATAAATATGTATTCTTTAACTTCATTTAGTTTTTAGAAATTTACATTTTTTTGTTCTTTTCTTAATTAAATTTCTCATTTTTAAATAAAATTTTTTTAATTTTAAGCTTTATTGTTATAAAAAGAAACATATTTTCGTAATTTAATTTAACTTTTAGCAACTTATTCTAATTTTTTCTTATTTGAATTTTTTTACATACTTTTTTTCATTTTTACTTTTCTATTTTTCAGATCAATGCTCAGAAGGTTAACATTTTTTCTTTTCTATTTATTTATAGTTTTTATTTTCCTTGTTTTTTATCATTTTATTATTATTCTTTATTTTTATTTTGTTTTAATATAGTTTTCTCTTATTTTTTAGAATATACTACATAATTAAAAAA